CCCAAAAATGGCTCCACAGCATGTAAAAATATAATATAAGCTCTGGCGGACTTGGTTCTATGGTAGGTCTTAAAGGGTTAACAAAAGGACAAAAAATGCCCCGCCTCTTTCCCCATGACACCTTAGGTAACTCCAGAGAGGGAGGGATGGATACAAATGAATAAATGGGATATGCGTATAGATGAATAAATGCATATTGTGTTCGTTTAGAGTTACCATTGATGAGGACTTGGATTGCTGAGGGTTATTTTAAAGGACCTAAAAGGTCTTTTGCACAGTCACTAACTACAGCGCGCTTGGAGCAGCTTCGCTATGATGCACTCTGTGCAGCACTTAATGTTACTGGGAACATTTAAAAAGATTCTTTTCATAAAATTTCACCTTTTTTACTAAATGTTGAACTAAATGGATAGTTTAGAAGAAAAAAATGTGTGACTGGCTGTTGTAAGGGTGAAACAGTACACTGTACAATACAGTTGGTCTACATGACTAATGATCGTGGCCATTCGGCTACCAGCATTAATGCTGAGGTCTTATGTGTATGAAGATTGTAGATTTGAAGAGTTTTCTCAGCAAATCACTACAGATTCTCCAATTTCCCCAGAAATCTTACATTTCTATGGGAATTGGACCCGCCGGGTGTGAAAAAACAAATCAGAACGTCAGCCACGTCGTCGGCAGTGAATTTGAAACAGACAGTCTTGGGAAATATCTGCGAGTGATTGATGATAACAACAAATCGTTACTAAAGGGTACGACGGTGAATCAACAGCTGCAAACGGCCCGCAGAGCTGAATGATCGCTTTTCTGTTATCTGTTTGAGGTTTCCTGCAGTGTGACACATTGTTTAAGTGGTAAAACACAGTTGCCTTTTTTTCCCCTTTGGTTTTTGACAGTGATCTGTCTGTGAGTGTATTTAATGATTTTTATTATTTTTTTGTGTGTGTGTGTGGAGAGCTAGAGAAGGATCAGAGCAGCTTCTTCAGAATGACCTTGAAATTGATCATTTTTAGTTTTACAAAATATTGATCGTAAAGGTTCCTGTTCATGTCAGTCTGTGCAAACTGAACTTTGAGCGAGCTGTTGCACAACCCCAAGTCTAACAGCAGAACATGTATGAGAATGAGTGATAGTGAGTGAGAAAAAGATAGTAAATAAGTAATAAAGCGATATAGAGCAATACCACACCTTTTCCAAGCGTCATAAAGCTCCTACAGCGGCTGTGGTCCTGCCTTTGATTCATACGTGTCCTGTTTGAAATTCAGGCTCCAGTAAGATCTTGCTCAGAACGTCATGCAAGCATTAATGCAAGCACAAACCAACAGACCTTCCAATATCTCCACTGTTTATCTGAATTATCTGAATGAATTCTGATGCATAGAGTGCAAACAAAAAAATAGCATAAGATTGTTGCTCCCAATTCTCATCTTAGCTTCCCGGGGGGTGTGACCCATTCCCAGTGAAACGTAGCCCCATAGTGATGCCTGCGATGCCTTTAGCCTGTGGCGGTAACGCTGGGTGAATTGTGATTGATGGTTTCTTGTAAACCTAGAGGAGTTTTTATTAGATGTTTAATCATTTATGAGCGCAGTGAAGTGAGTATTCATTTGAAACATTACTAAGCTACAATAATTCAAAGAACGCGCACAGTTTGACATTTTCAGCTTAAAAATGAATAGAAAATAAGCAAAGTTGGATACATTTATTCTGTTTCCTGTTTCAGACTTGCTTCATTGCGTGTGTGCAGATGAATACGTGTAAGATTATTAAGATAAGCATGATATACACAAAAATCTCAAGTTAACAGGATTCTTTTTAAAAAATGATAGGGATTAATTATTAAAATAAAAATTGTTAAAATAAGTAGCAAGTGCTTGAAGACATTTCCATCTGTCAGTGGAAGCTGAACATTTGATCGCGTGAGGAAGGTTTTTCTGGATTTTTGGAGCAACGGCACGATCTTCTTTATTAACCTCCACTGACCTCGTGGGACAGAAACAGCCGATGTGAAGACATTAAAGTCGAGCAGTACATTAGGGCAGAGAAACTGAGAACACATAAGTCTGTGGATCCTAAAATAATTTTTGGATTTAACAGGAAGCTAGCACCAGTGTAATGCTTTCTGTTCTCACAGTTCAGCGCCAGCTGATAAGTGTTTATAGAGATTAATGTAGTGATGGAGAAAAGAGTGGAAACAGCAAAACTTCACCAAATGTGAAAGCCGAACAAATCTGAACGCTGTCGTCTTAGCTGAAGATGCATCCCTCTACCAGAGAACAGCAAAGATTCTGCTTTTCTCCAGGAGAATTAAAGCAGTAAATTATCAAATTATCTTATAAAAGTGCCCATATTTCATACATTGTTTAATGTTTTATGCCTGTTTTATACTTTAGTGGTGGTAGCGCGAAGGCAGCCT